AAATGGGAGAAACGATGTGGGATTTGTTCAAGTCAGGAGGCTGGAAAGGAAGGCCTTGTTCTGGACAGCTATATTGTTTTCTAGTGAAACAGCCTAGGTGAACAAAACTGTGAGTCAGTATGGTAAGAGCTACTGAATGTGCTACTTGAACAAGTGGACTGAATCATGAGCTGGTGGGCTCTACCCAACATCTTGTTTAAAGAATCTGGCCTACCAGACTGACCAAAGATGCCAGATAGAAAGTGCTACAGCCTAACGATTCTTTTGCAATTTCCTGTGTGGGGGGTGGGGAGAGAGAACTATTTCCTGTTACGGGTCCCACATGCCCAGTTCATAAAAATCCTGACCAAGAGTGACCTGAGTCTCATTAGCATGCTGGCCCCGATAAATATCCCTGGCATGGAGACTTTAGATACCAATGAGACATGTGGTGTATGAAGGAGCACATAGCTCTTCTGCACAAGCCCCGGTATGGTCTGGCCCAAAACATGCTATGATATTCCTCCCCTCTACTCTGCCCTGATAGACTAATCCCTTAAAACCCTTTGCACAGCTCCCCTCAGGGAACCAGACTAAAAATTTCCTCTTCCAGTCCTTGCTCCCTTGTGCAGAGGTCTTTAGTAAACCTTATCTGGTTAACTCAATAATTCTCTGGTACATTCTTTCTCCTAGAAGACCCGTGAACCCATAATTTGGGGTTGGGGTTGGTAACACTAGGAATGCTGTAACAAGACATCACAAACTAGGTGGCTTAAAACCAGAAATGTATTGCCTCACGGTTCTAGAAGTTAAAAATCCAAAACTAAGGTGTTAGCAGACCCGTACTCTCTGAAACTTGAGAGTTTATCTTCTGGCATTTGTTGGCAAAGCTGTCATTCCTTGATTTATAAAACTCTAATCTCTGTATTTAAGGGTATCAGGTTTTCAAAGTATCTTTATTTTGGGGAGGACACAGTCAACATTTAACAGTGGCAGATGGGTGAAAATAATCCATAAAGTGCAAAAATTTCTCAGAAAAATGAAACTAGGTAGATAAAATCAGGTCATGTATATGGGTAGATGAGATGAGGAAATAAGGTAGACAAACTTTCCCAGAGGAACAATCAACAAAGCAGAGTAATGCCTCAGTTGTAACATGACAGTCTTCTCCCAGCAAGTCTTCCCTTCTCTTCTTTAAAAGGACACCAGTCCATCAAATTAAAGGACCCATCTGACTCCAGCACAAATATGTCCTCAATTTAGTCATATCTTCAACAACCCTGCCTAGGTAACTAGGGGTTAGGATTTCAATATTATCTTTTGGGGTGGACACACTTCAACTCATAACTATCAGCCCACCTGGTGGACCCCTGTCCTTTCCCTGTACAAAATCCAACCCCCTCATACCAACATCCTCAAAAGTCTTAATCATGCCAGCATTAATTCTAAATCACCAGTGTCATCTAAATACCATCACCTCAAAGTCCCAAATCTTACTATCTAAATCAATAATATACTTGAGGTATGATTCATCTGAGGCAAAATTCCTCTCCATCTGTGAGATATGCTACAAAAATACACTGGTGGGACAGACATAGGACAGATTATTTCCACTACAAAAGAGAGAAACTGGAAGGAAAAGCAGAGGTCATAGATTTCAAGCAAATCTAAAACCTAGCAGGTAAATTCCATTAGCTTGCAAACCTGAGAATAATACCCTGTGGCTTCATGCTCTGTGCTCACCAAGCCACAATGCCATCTTGACCGCAGGCTCTCTGGAGAAGGCAGTCTCACCATCTGGGTCTTATACCCTCTTTGGCTTCTGCATCCACTGCTTTACCATCTTAGTCATTCTTTATTTTTTGTCCCCTCTCTATCCCTTTCGGTCTAGGCTGGCAGTGTATCCAAAAATCTTAATTCACATGGATGTCAAGGGGATCCATTAGATATGATGCTCTTCACAGCTTCTTCCTGGTTTATAGGCTTTATCTCCTTAGCAAATGGTCATTCAGTCATGCTCTTGGTCCTGTTTCTTTCTGATTTAGAGATGCATTCTTAGGCATTTCTTTTCTCTTGCAGTTTACTATAAGCAGGAGAAATTAGGCTGCATACCTTCCATATTTTGCTTGGGAAATCCTTCAGCTAAATACCCAAGTTCATGACTTACAAGAACACAATTCAGCTAAATTCTCTATTGCTATATAACAAGGATTGCCGTTCCTCCATTGTCCAGTAACATGTTCCTCATTTCCATTTGAGGTCACCAGAAGCACCTTTAAAATTTCTATTTGAACACTCTCTTCATGGTAATTTATATATTCTCCAAGACAAGAAAAGCTTTCTCTATAGTTCACTTCTTTCTGAGCCCTCAGCACAATTGTTTTTAATGTTCGAATTTCTACCATAACCTCTTTAAAACAATCTAGGCCATTTCTATTCATTTCCAGCTTCTACCTATTATCCAACCCCAAAGACACTTCCATATTTTAGGTATTTATTAAAGCAGTATCCCACCTACCAGTATCAAAATCTGTATTAGATTCCTAAGGTTACCTTAACAAAGTATCACAAACTGGATGGCTTACAGCAACAGAAATATAGTCTTTCACCATCTGAGGAATAGAAGTCTAAAAAACTGACATGCTGGGGGCCTCCCAGGTGGCACAAGGGGTTAAGTCTCAGCACAATGACACTATCAGAAGCCACTGAAGCACAAGGTCGATCCTCAGTCAGGGAGCTGACCCACATGGCACAGCAGACCTCACCTGCCTCATAGGCTGCAACCCTCAGCAAGTGTATTTCAATAGATCCACCAGTTCTGCTCCCTACTCTTTCTCTGGTGAATCCTCTCATCCCCCTACACCTCTGGCCTATACCCCAGTTCTTGGATGCATAAATAAAATAAATCTCTAAAAAATAAAATAAAATTGAGGTGCTGAACTAGTGTTGACGTTAATAAAGAAAATTGGCACATGCAGGGTATATGGGAATTCTACACTTTATTCACAATTTTTCTGAAACTATTGCAGTATTTTAAAAGTTGAAAGACTGATGACAAAAGCACAATGAAGAACCACTTCTACCCACTAGGATGGCTATAATAAAAAACACAAATAATAACAAGTGTTAACTAAGATGTGGAGAAATCAGAATTCCCATACTGCAGGTGGGAATGTAATATAGTGTAGATACATTGCAAAACAGTCTGGTAGCTCCTCAAAAAGTTAAACATTGAGATATCATATGACTCAGGAAAATGCCATTTTAAGTTATTTATCCAAGGAAATGTACACCTAAAAATTTATACACAATGTTTACAGCAAGAGTATTCATAAGAGCCTCAAAGAAGAAGCATGCAAAATGTCTATCACCTGATGAAAAGTGTGATATAACCATTCAATATAATATCATTCAGGCATAAAAAGGAATGGTGTGCTTGGACACATGCAACAATGAGGATAACCTTCAAAACATTACGCTAAGAAGTCATTCACAAAGTACTACAGAAAATACTATGAAATAATTTTTTTTTAAAAATTGTGTGATTCCATTCATATGACATGTCCAGAAAAGGCAAATCCATAGAGACAAAAGTTAGACTGGTGGTTTCCCGGGAATGTGGCTAGAACTGGAGGTTGAAGGGTGACAGAATATATATTTTCATACGTACGACTTTCTTTAGGGGTGATGAAAATATTCTAAAACTGACTATGACGATGGTTATACAACTCTGTGAGTGTATTAAAAAACCAGTGAATCATATACTTAGTGAGAATTATATCTCAATAAACCTGTGGTTTGTTTAAAGACTGACAAAAGAGCACTGCAATTTTTGCTAAACAGCTCATACAGAATTAGAAGAATTTAGTTTCACTGCTCTATGAATTTTGTTCCATTACCACATGTAAAACAAGAGTAATCACCGCATCTAGTATTAGTCTATGTATATGCGTGCACAATACATACATGAATGTATGTATATGCACACACCCACAAGAACTAGTATACATTAATGTATGAAGTATATTATTTGTGCATACATATAATTGAAGTTGCACTCTGTCTCATTCTAGCAATGTGATAATTATTGATGGATACATGAACTGAAAACAAATGTCAATGTGATTAAAAATGCATTTCCAATTAATGCAGAGTAATGTTAAATCAAAGTATAATATACTTGTATTCTTTCAAATCACCTGCATATTAATAAATCAATTTAAAAGTGGTTTAACTAATCTTATTGTCAAAAGCAATTAAAACACATTTGTATATGTTGGTTTTCTCCAGGAAAGTATCATAGGATAAATAAAAGAAGGTTATCAAACATCAAAATTTTGAGTATTAGGATAAAACTCAGTAGGCGCAATAAAATGGAAATTTAAATGCAAGAAAATGTGTTTTTCATTAAATTTATGACCAAAATAGTATACTTTAAAATATGCAAAGTAGTGTTTTTGAAAATTCTCTTAAGGGAGATCTGAGCAACCATCATATACACAAACCACTATTTTACACAAACATGATTAAATATTCATCTATCCAGCTAGATTAATAAAGAATCAAAGGAGATAATATTACACAAGTCTCCCAAATCAAAAGAAACACCCACATATTATAAATAAAGCAAAGAAGCAGCAATAGACAAGAAAAGTTCTTTTAAAAGTAATATATAAAGTCAAATTCTGAGTTTTTAAATCTTAAGACTTCTGCAATATATAGTTAAGAATCTTAGAATAAGGAAGCAACCAATACAAACATGAAGTCATGGGACATCATGTCCCAGGAAGAAATGTTCTAAAGCAATAGGAGGGAACTTCTATCTTTCAAAGGTGAACATAGAGAAATGAGTATCAGGTACATTATTGCTTCAGAAATACTCTTCAAAACGATGTATGCAAGCTACTTAAAGCTCTAAGTGAAGAAAACATAAGCAAAGGATTATTTTGTATTGGTTAGAATATAATAATCAACCTTGAGTATCACTTAAAAATCAGATTATTCCGTATATAACCTCTTACCTGACATTTTGAGTAGGATTCCACCTTTCAGAGGGCAGTTCTCCACTCTGTGGGTCATCTACAGGCGGATGAAGAATTGAAATGCACACATCTCCATTCTATGAGACACAAGTATTGCATTTAGTAAACATTCAAAATACGAATGTTTAGGAGAAAGTAGTACCAGTTTTACGTAAGTTTCCAATATTCCTAAAAACCTTGCTTTCTTATCATCAGAGAAAAGAATTCTGCTCTTTCTTCACTTTTAGAATCAATGCTGAAGAATTAAACATTTTTTGTATTAGAAACACTTCATACTGACCAATGTATTTCTTAAAAAAGAAAACCTAAAGAAAACATAAGAAAGAGCACAAGAGACTGATGTGATGGTTCATGGGTACCATGGTGGTGGGAGAATTATGGGCACTACACCTGAGGGGAGAAATCAAATATTGTACAAAAATGAAAAAAGATGTAAGAGAATTTAAAAACATTTTTAAATGATCGGGGGAAAAAAAAAACCTATTTTTACATAGCATCTTCTAAAAAAGTCATTAACGGTCCTCCCTGGTGTTACAAAGGGGTTAAGTCTCAGCACTATGAAGCTATCTGTAGCACTAGCTAGATCCCTAGCCAGGGAGGTGACCCACATGGCGCAGCAGACCTCTCCTGTCTCGCAGGCTGCTCCCCTCAGCAGTGTATTTCAGTAGATCCACCTGTTCTGCTCCCCACTCTGTCTCTGGTGAATCCTCTCACCCTCCCGCACCTCTGGCCTATACCGCAGCTCTTGTATGCATAAACAAATACATCCTCCAAAAAAAATATTTTTTTTGAAAGAAAAAAATCTGATCTTGCTTAAAATTTGCCTAGTATTTATCAATCACTGCTTTCAATAACTATCAATTATATAAACAGAAAATATGCCTCAAACAACTTAATTATAACTCCTTTAGTGTATGGACAGAGGAGCTTATCACTATGCTCACACAATATGAATTGCCACTTAGGCAATAAAGTTGCCATTCAATAGAAAAGACAAGGTCAACTAAGAGACAGTCACCTATCTCTTGATCTAAAATGAAGGAGATTCAAAATTTTTAAAAATTACATTGTAAAAAAAAATTACATTGTATAAAGTAAAAAAATTTTACATATGCAACCAAATTGACACAAACACAACATAACCATATCAAGATAAATAGAACATTTTTTAAAAAGAAAATTTTAATGAAATCAATACCAAATACTAAATTCTAAATCTGAAACACTGAAACTTTGCATCACTATTAGATGCCATGAAGGTTAAAAAACAAAAAGCACTATAGAAACGGAATAAAATTAGGTATATCTGCATAGATGAGCTATATCTGGTATATTGGAAGTGGTTTGGAAAAAGAACCAAAGCTAACTAGTTTAGGAAGCTATGCGATAGAACTCGAAAGAGCACAATTTTAACAATCTAATGGAAATACAGACGTAAGTTTTGCGGAGAAATATGCCATCACAAATGGCATATTTCTTAAGCTTAAATATGTAGCTTAAAATATGTCCACGTAGGGCCTCCCCGGTGGCGCAGCGGTTGAGTGCTGGGTTGCAAAGCTGCCCGCAGCCTCTGCGGCGCCGGTTCGATCCCCGGCTGCTACCCGGCCTCCGGGGGATGGTCCCGCATGGCGCGCAGACCTCTCCTGCCGCCCGCTGCTCCCCTCAGCAGTGTACTTCGGTCCTTCTGCCTGCTCTGCTCCCCGCTCTGGCTCTGGTGAATTCTCTCACCCTCCCGCGCTTCTGACTGTGCCCAGTGCTTGTATAAATAAATAAATCTTTAAAAAAAAAAAAAAAATGCTCTATCCCATTAAAAAAAAAAAAAATGTGGGCCTCCCCAGTGGCGCAGCGGTTGAGCGCTGGGTTGCGAAGCTGCCCGCGGCCTCTGCGGCTCCGGTTTGATCCCCGGCTGCTCCCCGGCCACCGGGGGAGGGTCCCACATGGCGCGCAGACCTCTGCTGCCGCCCGCTGCTCCCCTCAGCAGTGTACTTCGGTCCTTCTGCCTGCTCTGCTCCCCGCTCTGGCTCTGGTGAATTCTCTCACCCTCCAGCGCTTCTGACTGTACCCAGTGCATGTATAAAACAAAAACAAACAAATAAATAAATAAAAAAAAAAATGCCTCTAAAAAAAAAAAAAAAAGTCCACGTAGTTTTGTTTTGTATTGATACTATATTACCACAGTAATTTGTTTTAAGTGGTTTTAAACAAATACACATTTATAATTTTACAGTAATAAAAGAATAGGTCAACGTCTGACACTGCTCTCAGAGGGCTAACGTCAATGTCGGCAGCACTGCATTCTTTCCCCGGAGGCTCTATGAAAGAATTCAGTCCCTGCCCTTTCTAGCTTCGAGGGGCTACTACCCATTTTGCTTTGCTTCTGACCCCCTTTCCCCCTGAGCAAGTAAACTTCATTTCTCTGGGCCTTTGTTCCAAAGTTACAGCTCTTCTCATTCTCATTTTCTGCCCTCCTCCTTCCATTTCTGAAAAATCCCCATGGGAGGAAAAAAGAAAAAAATAATAATAATAAAGGGGGGAAAATCCATATGATTAAACAATCCAGAACAACCTCCTTATTTTAAGGTCAGCTGATCAGCAACCTTAATTCTTCTTTGACATGTACCTAAGATATCATATGCCCCAGAGATTAGAATGTAGACATCTTTGAGGAACCATTATTCTACCTTCAATAATAGTGAAGAACTTAGCTTAAGTGAAAAACAGCACAATAATTAGGACAGGGGTATGTGAGTTTGCTCAAAGTTTGGCATGTAAGTATGTAAAATTGAATTTCTGATTAATGGGATGAAAAGAATTATACTTAGAAACATACTGTTGTGTTGCGTGCTTACACGTATTAAAAGGTGGTCATCTCAACTGATGAAAATGAAGTATCTGATAAAATCCAACATTTCTTCATGATAATACACTCACAAAACCACAAATAGAAAGGAAATATCTTAAAAAACATTTACAAAAAAACTTACAGCTAACTTATACCCCAAGGTGAAAGACTGAAAGCTTTCTTCCAATATCAGGAAGAAGACAAGGATGCCTCTTTCACTACTGCTATTTAATATTGTCCCAGGAGTTTTAGCCAGACTAATTAGGCAAGCAAAAAAGAAAAGGCAGACAGATTAGAAATGAGGAAGTAAAACTGCCTTCATTTCACGTATGACAGAACATTCCAAACAATTCATGAGAAAGTTACTAGGGCTAAAAAAAATCTGCAAAGTTACAGGATATTTTAAAGTCAGCACTCAAAAATCAGTGTCATTTCTATATACCAACAATGAATAACCCAAAAAGGTATTAAGAAATCAATTCCATTTACAATGGCACCTGAAGGATAAGATAATAAATCTAACAAAGAAGATTAAAGACTTGTCACAGAAATGTGTTCATGGGTAGGAAGATTTACTATTCACATGACAATATTACCAATTTGATTTATGGATCCAACACAATCCGAGTTAAAATCCCAGCTTCTTTTTTTTTTTTTGTAAAATTAACAAATTTATCCTAATATTTAGATGGCTAGTCAAGAGACCCAGAATAATCAAAATAATCTTAATTAAGTTGGAAGACTTACACATTCTGATCAATATTTATGTAATGTTACAGTCAACAAGGCTAAGACTTACATAGTAACACACATATAGACCAATGGAATAAAACTGTCAGTCCATAAATAAACTCATATTATACAGCCAATTGATTTTGACAAGGATGGTATAATTCCATTCAAGGGGAAAGAACAGTTTACTCAACAAATGATACTAAAACAACTAGATTTCCAAAAACAAACTCCTACCTCACACCATATACAAAATTAACTTTGAACACAACAAAGATCTAAGAGCTAAAACTGTGAGGCTCCTCTGGAAAAATTCAGAGGTAAATCTTCATGACCTTGGATTTGGCAATGGATTCTTAGATAAAACACCAAATCATGAACAAACAAAATAAACTAGACTTCATTAAAATTTAAAACATTCGTATATCAACAGTTATTATTTAGAGAGTGGGAAAAAAACCTATAGTATGGGAGTAAGTATTTCCAAATCATATATCTGATAAGGGTTTAGTATCCGTAATATATATTGAACTCCTACAACTCATACTAAAAAGATTAACTAGACAATTCTAAAGTAGACAAAAAACAGACATTTCTCCAAAGAAGACATAAATGTTCCAATAAAGCAGATGAGAACTTTCTTTTTTTTAGAAAAAGATTTAGTTTTATTTATCATACAAGAGCTGGGGTATAGGTAGAGGGTTGGGGGGACAGTGAAAGTATTCATCAGAGACAGTCTGGAGCAGAACAGGCAGTTCCACTAAAATACAGTGCTGAGTGGAGCAGCGGGTGAAACAGGAGCGGTCTGCTCCGCCATGTGGGTTACCCACCCTGTCCGGACTGAAGCCATGCACAGTGGCTGGCAATAGCTTGATAGTGCTGACTTTAACCCCTGTGTACCAGGGAGGCCCAGATGAGAAAGAATTTTCAACATCATTAGTCGTTAGGGAAATGCATTTCAAAATGACAAGAGAGCGCCTGGCGGCCTAGGAGTCAAGTCTTAGACTATCACCACTACACCCTGAGTTCGATCCCTGGGCAGGGAGCAAACCCACACAGGGCGCAGCAGACCTCTCCAGTCAACCCTGTTGCTCCCTTAGCAGTGTATTTCTGCTTCCCCAATCTGTCTCTGGTAAATCCTCTTTTTTTTTTTTTTTTTTAGGTGGGACCCTCGCCTGCAGCCGGGGAATGAACCAGTGCTGCAGAGGCTGTGGGCAGCCTCGCAGCCCAGCACTCAACCACTGCACCACCAGGGGAGGCCCTACACCCCAGTTCTTCTACACATAAATAAATAAATAATAAAAGGACAATGTTTCATATCCCTTTAGGATTAATAAATTATAACAAAAATAGAAAAAAGCAAGTGTTAATAAGTATGTGGAGAAACTGGAACCCTCACACGTTGCAGGTGGGAATGACAAATGGTTCATGTGCCATAGATCACAATAGCAGTTCTTCAAAAAAAAAAAAAGTAAAGGGCCTCCCTGGTGGCGCAGCGGTTGA